AAAATCGAAATAATTTCAATTTTTTTTTTTAATGTTTTGCCGTATATAGAGATTTAAGTATTTCGTGGTACTCAATTCGGGAGGGGGGCAGCTCACACACACACACACCCACACTCACACATACAAAACAAACAAACACATACACATACACACACACACACACACAGAAAAAAAAAGCATTAAGCGAACATATATTTTAATTATAGACTGATTTATTAGTAATTGAAATTAATCTACAAATTTAAGCATAAATCTGAATAAACGCAGGAATAATAATTAAACCAAGAGTTAAATAAAAAGTGCATGTGCATGTGATTTTATGTTTGTTTTCTATCCTTTTTTTGTGATAAACAAACGAAATACTTGAAAATAACAACAAAAACAACAACAACAACAAAAACAACATCGATAACGGCCAATAGAACGATAATTGAATATGCGATATATTTGTACTCACCATGCGGCGCACAAATGTATTTGGCCGGTGGCTGAGAAAGAAGATAACTCTAAACAATAATTGAAATACTTTATGGCATAATTATCGTAACAATAAATGAACTAAATCTTAAATTCGTTTGTAAAGTGTTCGGCTTTTCAATTGTAATATCCAGAGAATTAAGTCATTTCTAATTGTAATTCACCTTCTTTTTAGTTCACCTCATTTCATTGACTGCAAGTGCAACTATAACTGTAAGCTGTCAACTGCTCTCTTGCTCTCTCATCGGCAGCAGCTGCAGCAGCTTATCGATCAGGACTATCGAATGGTAAGGTGTGACGTCACAGCTCTGGCGGAAATTGATGCAGCCCTGAATGAAGTTTGTTTTTTTTATATGCATTTTTCAGGTTAAGTGATATTCCAGTTGAAGTACCACGCTGATAAAATTCCGCTGCATACTTTCCGGGGCAGCAACTGCAAGCAGTGCATGTGCGTGAAAAACACACACACGGACAACATCGTATGCTGTAATTGATGCATAGGGATATGCATCATATGAAGAGAGAGCAGCAGCTACTTTTGCGGAAGGGTAAACATAGGATGCATATTCGGACCATATTGCCTATTTCGCAAGTATTTAGTTATATAGGTGCACCAGCAATATATTAACAGTTTAGTTAGCGAGGATATGGGGCTATTTTGAAAAATATCGGACAACCGATATATTTTTAACGATTTTTGGATAGTTATCGATTATTTCGTTGAATGATTACGAATATCGATTATTATTCAAAAATTAAACCGCGTAACTCTGAGCGATCTTCGAAAATTGGGTCCATTCAACATAAATATATTTAAAATTGAATTTTAGATTAATACGATTTCACACACAAGCAATGCAATAGCTTTCCACCCATTTTCCTCAGTTGTTGGTGGAAATATTCTCTCGGTTTCGGCTCAGCAATCAGTCTGTTCCGTTCCAACAGTTCGATTTAGATTTATAACTGAATAACGTGAATATAATGGACTTCTTTAATTGTGTTCGTTAGCTTAAAACAAATCAATTCATTCATGATTCAACTTATAAATGGGGGTCAATCGACTGAGTATAATACATAATTTTAACTGGATAGAAAAACACGTGGATAGTGTTTTTATGGTGCGAGTATATCTTCGAGTGCATCTTTCACATTTTGGACTTCTTGCTGCTGTGTCCCTCGATGCCCAAATTGCAGCGCGAGGCAACATCCTGCACGGAGGTTAGCCCCGTGGTGCTGGTTGGCAACGGGCCACCAAATGCCGAGGCCGACAAATTGCCATTGCTGGGACGCTTGCGCGGCGGCGAATGGACGGGTGACTTTTGCTTGAGGCACTCAACATCATCGAATACCACCTGGGCACCGCCGCCGCAGGTGGGTATCACATTGCCCTTGTACAGTTTGGTCTCGACGTCGCCATCGGTGTCCGCCTCCTGGGAGACGAGACAGTATTTGTTGGCGCCATGCCCGGTTAGCTCCTTCATGTCTGTCAATTTGGTAACCGACTTGCGATTCTTCAAATACGGCTGCATAATGGTGCCCAGTGGCACGGGATTGGCAGCACGATGCTCCAGCCATTTGTCGCCGGCGGAGCGAGATCTCCGATGCCTGTTATTGGCAGCTGCCAAGCCCTGTTAAGCGTAGAGCACAAGATCAGTTGCACTCTCGGAATGCTTAGTTTAAGTATTTAACTTACATGTCGCGGCGTGCAATAGATGTCTGTGCGTGTCGTTGCCGGCGCGGAGGATTCTGTGCGTGCCGTGAAGCCACCGCCGCCGCCGCGTTCCTTGTCGTTCAGTAGATTCTCTGAGCTCTGGGAACGCGGCAGACTGGGCACGTCCTCCGACTGCAGAATGTTTGAGACGAGACGCAACTTCTCGTCCTTGATGCGCATGCGCTCCTGCATCTTGGCTCGCTGTTCGCGCAGTTTCATGTCGAACTCGCGTTTATTTTTATCGGATTCAACGGCCAGCTTTGAGTTGAACTTCTTTTTCTGCTTCTCCTTCTCCTGCTCCTTTTGCGTGAGCAGATAATCCTGCTCGCTCAGCTTCTGGGTGAGCTCCTGGATCTGCCGCTCGCGCTTGCTAACCGTATTGTTGAGCACATCGATGGAGCTCTCGTGTATGCGCACCTTGTTCTCCAGCGCGGCGCTGCGCTCGCGCTCCTGCTTGTAGACGGCCTTCAGGGAGGCCAGCTCCGTGCGCAGCTGCAGATTGTCGCGGTCCAAATTCATCAGCAGCTGACGGAAATTGTCACCTGGCACAAACAGAGAGCTTGGTTAAGGACATTACAAGGGATTTGGTAAAACATGTAGCTACATTTAATGTCCATGTTGGCGCGCAATTTGCGCCGCTTCTCGATGCGCTGCTCCAGATACTGCATCAGCTCCTGTATCTTGCACTCCGTCTCGGGACTGTCCATGTGATAGTTGGGAAAATCTGGACCCAAGCTGTACACCAGGCCCACATCCACCTCCAGCTGCTTGGCCTCGGGTATGCCCAGTTCGTTCAGATTGTTGACAGCGATTTTGAACAGTTTATTGGCCTTGCGGCGGCCGGGCGTCAAGCCCAGATCTGGTTTCATGGGCGTGGCACGCGCTATTTGCACCTCCTGTGTCATCTCGGCGAACTTCATGACTTGCTGCGGAGCGTAGAAAGTGGTTAGATAATCTTATACAGGAGTCGTATACGGGCTTCCATTTTACCATATTCTCGTCGTAGTCCTCGATGCGCGGATTGACGCACACAATCATGGATACCTGGCCCTCGCCATCAAAGTAGTTCTTGAACATGTGCGTGATCTTCGAGTCGCGATAGGGTATCTTCTTGGCCGCCACATTCCCGGCCAGCTGCTGGTTTTCGCGCAGATATTCCAGGCAGGTGCGCAGCGTCATCAGCGAGTTGTTTATGTTGCCCGCCTCGCGCAGACGGACGCCCGTGTTCTTGGTGCGCGAGGAGCGTTCGCTGCCCGCCAAATCCACCAGCGACAGCTGGCTAACGGTGATCGTGTGCTTGTCCTGGACCACATGCTCGCCCTGGCAATCGGTGGGCGCTTGCACCAGGCGTATATTGAACACGGAATGGCTGCGACTGGACTCGGCATTGAGTATTGTGTTGCCCATGCGTTTACGCTTCTGGCCCATTTGGAATACCTCCAGAGCTTCCTCCACCGTTTTGACCTCCACCTCGGTGACGCCGTGCACAAACATCTGATGATTGGCATCCTCGCGTATGATCTTGCACTGCAAAGACCTGCACTCTCCAGAAGATTAGCAACTAATAAAGATTGATTAAAGAGATGCGTCTTACTTCTGTACGCCCGTGTCCTCGAGCAGATCGTAGACACTGTTGTTGTACATCTCCACGTAGGTGATGAACACCGAGTACATGTTGTCCTCGTCCAGCACCGACAGCGGCGTTGGCTCCACCGAGGCCTGTGAGGCTATTTCCGGATCCGAGTCCTTGCGCCGGAAACCAAAGCGACCGGCGCCCGCAAAACGCTGATTCATTTCCTGCTGCCGCTCGAGCAGCGCATCCTCCTCGGACAGGATCTCAAAGCCGTTCAGCCGATCCGGCTTGAAGACAAACTTCTTGGCCTGATAGTCGGATATGGTGCGAAAGAGCAAATCCAGGCAGCGCGGCATGATGCCACGATGCCGCGCATTCCCCGTCATTGTGTAGGTCTTGCCGCTGCCCGTGACGCCGTACGTGAAGAGCAAACTGTTGCGGCCACGCACCAGATTCTCGACCAGCGGCTGCGCGACGGCAGCGAACACCTCCTGCTGGTTGGAATCCGGCTGGAAGACATGCTTGAAGATGTACTGTATCTCGCGCTGAGCGCCGTTTTGTTTCGGATGCAGCAGCTGATCCTGCGAATTGAGCGCAATTGTGGTCGTGTTCTTGACACGCATGCACGTCAGATCGCCCTCCGATTGCAGCGGACGCACACGGCAGAATACATTCACCGGATCCTGCTGTTTATTGGACACGTCCCGTCGTTTCTCTGGATGCGTATGCGCGGGCGCGGCGCGGGGTGTTTTCGGGACGCGCATAGGCGTACGGGGCCTGCATTGGAAACAACATACATTTCAAGCATATTTTGCATTTAATGCTATTTGAATACTTACACTGCTTTCATTTTGATATTTTTTGTAATTTTATTACGGCTGCAATCTTGTTTTTTCGCTTCTTTTAAAAAACCAACAGAGTTTTGGTTCGTTAGCTTCAAATGCTTGCGCCCATACAGACGCCACGCTTGTTCTTCCTCTTCCTTTCGATTTGCGTTCGCTGCCAACTTCATGTGGCTCGAAATTGCGTCCAAAACGCAGGGTTGTATTTTCGATAAATAACAAGCAAAACAACAATTTATTTCAACTGAAACCGGATTTCAGCACACTTGTTATTAATTAAACAAGTGCTAAATAAACATATTAGCACTGTTCCAACAATAAAATAACGATTTCACAATTATCAGCAGCGGGGTTGCTCAGTTGTTAAACAGAAAATAGTTAATTTAAGCTGTCGTTAAATTCAAAACTTTCTTCGAAAAATTTTACAATTTTAAAATGCATTTTAAAGTGTCATAATTAAAATTATAATTAAAATAGACGCAACCTATTTCTTGTTGAACTTAAATACGGACAAGAGGTTACGCATGAGGGCGGGGCCATTCCAATAGCCCGGCAACATTAGCTTCCAGTAGAGCAACGGCATCAGATCCTTCTTCATGATGAACATGGAATAGCGCTCCTTGTTCTGTGCCACAGGGAACGTTTCCAATGGCGTCAGATTATAGTCGAACTCGGCCAGAATGACGCTATTGTAGCCGGTCACCAGCGGACACGAGGCATATCCGTCGTAGACATCGCGCAGAGGCTTTCCATTAAGCGCTGCGATCATATTACGGAACACAACCGGCGATTGGGCAGCTGCAAATTAACAACAATTTGTATAATAACAATCTCTGGAAGGCTTCGAATGGTTTTCCGCCCATTTTCCACAAATGCGGGTGATATTATCTTACATATCATCTTACGTCATTTAAAAACCTATCAACTTTCCAGCTCTTACGTCAATTTGTGCATCTTACGCCATTGGAAATATCAACTTTCCAGTTTTCCCATCAACTTACCTGCTGCGGCGGCAGTCTTGGAGTTGGGTGAACCGGACGAATCGCCAATGGCGAACACGTTCTTGTATTTCGTGTGCTGCAGCGTGGACTGATCCACGTCCACGAAGCCGGCTTCATTGATCAGCTGCTTGCAGCGGGTCAGCGCCTCGGGAGCACTCATCGGCGGCACAGCGTGCAGCATGGAGTACTACGGATCAAAAGACAAGGATTGCTATCGATATGCTACATGGACAAAACGGAACTGTACCTTCTCCTCGAAGCATTCGGCGGGATTGTCCAGGTTCTGAAAGACAGCTATATCCTGGCCCGGCTTAACCTCGATTAGATTACGGCGTGTATTAACCGTAATGTTGCGCTTCTTAACAATGGGCCACAGGGCATCCGCATAGTGTTTGACGCCGAAAAGCACGGGCAGAGCCGTATTGTATATCACGTTAATCTTGTCACGCTTGCCCGTCTGAAAGGACGTCCACAGTTAGCAGCTTATCCGGATGGGTTACCCCAAAACGGGTGCTTACCTTGCGGAAATAGTGCTCCGAGATGTAGACAATCTTTTGGGGTGCGCCCGGACACTTGACGGGCGACGATGGATACGTAAAGATGGCATTCCCACCCTCAATATTGCGCAGGCAATCGTATACTCTGTCCACATACATGGGCGAATATATGGAGGACACCTTGCCATTGGGTATGGCCAGCGCCTCCTCCAGTCCGGGTATCTAGACGAGATCAAAAAGCCTGGTGAGTGCCGAAAGAGACACAGCTGGGCAGGTTGATCACGAGCTTACCTTATTGTAGTTCAACTGGAGTCCGGTGGCGATGAGCAACATGTCATACTTGATGGTATTACCGCCGGTTGTCTTAACCGTATTGCTGTCCGGATCGAATTCTATGGCCGCCTCGCGCAGCCACTTGGCCTTCTTGGGCAGCACCTGCGACATGGGCTTCTGGGACTGCTCCAGCCGCTTCATGCCGCCACCAATTAGCGTAAACATCGCCTGATAATAATGTGTCTACGGACGAACGCAACGGGCTTGAGTGTGATTCGACTCGTCAGAGTACTGAGAGATTTGCTTACGTACATCGGCCGGTTCCACAACGATCACCTTGTTCCTGCCCAGGCGCGAGGAGAGCTTGGCGGCCATCGCACAGCCGCCGGATCCGCCGCCAACAACCAAAACTTTGCATCTGCAAATATTATGTTATTTTTGTAAAGCAGAAAGACGAGCTCAACTTTCGATCGATCATTCCCATGCCGATCCGGATAAAAGCCTTTAAACTGGAAGACGAATACACAATACCCTCTACAAGGGCAAAAGAACATATATAACAACTTTGTCAGCAGCTGTGACCGACTGCGCAATACTCTGTTGCAATGTCAAACTGCGCTTAATTCAAACGAAAATTTGCAACTTTCGCATATTTGAGATTAAGAAACAAGAATTTTTCGCTATCTATGAAATGTTAACCTTGAATCTTGGGCTATCTTGAAAATATTGAGACTGTGCTTTCATTTTAGTCGAAGTTGACGTGCAACCAATATGCCCACACGCACTATGCGTACAGGGTATGTGCATAAAAAAACTGCTGCCATCGGCCAAATTAATTTTGGTCTACGTGCGCAATTCCCTCCCTGGCCACTAATCATGCTAATTAGGTTTGTTTTATAGATACATATATACATTGGGAATGCGCTGTCCAAAGTTTACGATCTCCAATTGGGACCTGTTTGTTTCCCATGGCTAAGCAGATGGGTGGAGGGGGAGGGGGGGGGGGGTGTGGCAGGCGAAAAACTTACTCATGCTTGTCGTAAAGCGCTTGGCTCGCCGATAGATGTCGCACCAGTAAGCGCTCGCCGAGGCGGCGTGTGGCCAGGATCTTCGTCTGTCTGAGGGCCAGCGGCAGGCAAGTGTAGGAGCTCATTGTGTACACAAAACCGTTTGGATCATGCGATCTCGGCAACTTGTTGCTATCAAAGTTATCTCTGTGTAAGTATATGTGTATATGTCTGTGTGTGCGTGTTGTGTCAAAGAGAGCTGCGCGATGCGACCTGCTGTGACGACGTCCGAATGACGACTGCCGAATGGGAGAGCGAGAGAGAGAAAGCAAGCAGCAAAGCTTTTACCGTTCGGTTAACACATTAACATACAGCACACGCAAATGTGTGTGCTGCTAATGCTACAAACTGGTAAAAAAACAAAAACCAAACAAAAAAAATTTGTATTTCGCCAGAATCCGTTTTTATTGCACACTTTGTTTTGTTTTTTTATTTAGTTTTTGTTGCAGCAGCAGATTTGTTAATTACGCATGTCGTCTGTTGGCTGCAAACTTTTCTCGCCCAGTGTATGCCGTTAACCTTGACTGAGCTTTCGCTACACGTGTGACGGTTATTTATTCGAAAAAAGCTTTGCAAGCTCAAACATGCGCAAGCTTTACGCGGCGTCTGCTTTTGACAAGCTGTTGCGTACAGTGCTGCGCATAAATATAGGTACAGCAGAGCGTGCAGCTTTCACATAAGCTAAAGTCAAGTTATAGTCTAACTGATGTCCGATATCGGAACTGAATAGCTTTAATTTATGGCGTGCTTTCACACATGCATTCACATGCCAATATAACAGCTTTCTTTCAATTTTGTAGCATACTTTTAGGTTAACAGGGTCATCTGAGTTTCCCAAAAAGTTTGAGTTAATACTTAATCAAGCCTCGGGAACGACATTGACTGGGAATTTGTAAAACTTACACAAGTCGAAGTTTGTTCAGTGTTTATTTGACATTTTTGGAGCAAAAATGATATAGCCCAGAATCAGGATATGTATGAGAACATTTTGAACCAAATTTCGAGACACGGATTTCGAAATATTCAAAAAAAAAAACTAAATAGACGGTATTTAAAAAAGAAATTTTAAGAAAACTATGAAATTTAGACGTAGCAAGAAATTAAAAAGCTTCAAAACGGAAAAGGAAATATTTTCGGTTTTGAAATCTGAAGGATTTTGGCATGTGAACTAGATACAAAATAATCCGGTTTTTTAGGGAGTTGTTGAGGTTATGTTCGATCCTCTCACATATGCATAGGGTATACAGAACTTGCGGCCCCTAAAAGTATAACTCACAATTTTGGGCAAAAAAATAAATAAAGAGAACACTTGAAGGGGGGTCCAGGGGGTTGGGGGGTGGGGTACATTTTAGATGTGATTAGTTAAACTAATTTGCAGTTGACTGCGCCACAAAAAAATACGCAGAATTGTGGCAACAGTTGTTGAGATACTCTAACCAGATGGGTAAAAGCGGGTATTATGGCTTGGGCAACATGTTTGTAACAGGCAGAAGAAAACATTGCCGATTTCAATGGGAGTTATATAATATCCGTTCGTTTCTCGGAACCTGTTGATCTTGGGCAGCACAAAAGGAACCCGATCCAATATATTCTTGATAGTTCAGTCTATCTCGCCGCACCCGACTGTCTGTTTCTGTGAACCCTTCGATCTCGGGAACTACAAAGTCTGGAGACTTGATGCCCTGAACTACTACATAAAGATCGGACTGTAAAGCTCGCAACTCGAGCAACTCGAGATCAACATCTAGCTGCATATGCTGGGTAGCTAGGGTACAGGGTATCGGCATATAGTACGGCAATTCCGTCAAGATTATTATTACTTAACTCTGGAACTTTTTCATATAGATCGGACTATATTAGCCGAGTTAATCAAACTGTGCATGGTGTAAAGCTACGGCTTAGGGTATCTACAAGTCCAGCACTTTCCACAAGTGTAGCTCCGAACTATACCGTAAAGATGGGACTTTATATTATGGCTATGGTGCAGGGTATCTACTAGTCCAGATGGGACTTTATATTATGGCTATGGTGCAGGGTATCTACTAGTACAGATGGGACTTTGTATTATGGCTATGCTGCAGGGTATCTACTAGTACAGATGGGACTTTGTATTATGGCTATGCTGCAGGGTATCTACTAGTCCAGCACTCCCGACTGGAGTACATTTAGCTTGTTTGTTGTATTTAATTACGACATGCTGAGGACTGATTGGTGGTGCCAGGACCAGGACCAGGAGCAGAACCAGGACGAGGACGAGGGCCAGGCAGCTGTAGGGACAGCGCCTTTGTGGGCGTGTGTAGAGCGTGTGGGTGTGACGCAGTCCCGTTATCAATTGGAGACAAGCTGACAATTCAAATGAAGCCCTATTGCCAGACACAGTTGGCCAAATTGGCTGGACGAGCGCGTGGGCGACATTTGGGCTCGCCAAGCTGTGCGTGTGTCTGTGTGCTTGAGGAGGGGGTAGGCCGGTGGGAGGGGGGGGGGGGGGGGGGGGGGTGCGCTGTTGCCAGGCAGCGACAGACATCGATGTCCCCACGGTGCCATTGATAAGTAGCTCATTATGATGATTGTCCCCAAGGCAAAGACGCCATTTTCTTTTTCTGTGCCAAGTCAGAAATCAAGCCCCCGCCCCCGCCCCCGCCTCCTCTCTTCAGCTTAAAGTGCAACTTCATTTGAATTTAACGGTTTCGAGCTCCGAAGTGCATTTCAATTTATGGCACAGAATCAATTAGGCTCTGCCGCCCAGCTGCGTCCGCCGCCAGCACTCGCATATACATACAGATATATGTATGCAAATAGTGGTCCAGCGGCAGCAGGTCTGCAGCCGGAGAGCTGACCCAGTCTATGGCATGCCCGACTAGTAAATACCCTAAACATATGGCAGCCAAATGTGTTTTTAGACCAAAGCCAAGGCAAAGGCTGCCAGCTTGTGGGGAGGGGGTAGCGGTGGTAGTTTTTGGCTCGAAATGTAGCATACGCAGAGCCTATATACTTAATTTGTTGTCTCTAGCTTTTATATGCTCCGAGCTATGCTCCTAATGCGGCAGTATCGATTGGTATCGAAGCGAAGCAAACTATCGAAAGTTGTTATGCTACGAGCTATGCTCCAATTACACGACTATCGACTGGTATCGAAACGGAGCAAACTATCGATAACTTGCTATGCTCCGGCTTATGCTCCAATTGCGTGGGTATCGATTCGTATCGAAACGGAGCAAACTATCGATAAGTTGTATCGAATGGTAGCAAGCTATCGATAGGTTGTAACATGCTTGATCTTTACTTTTAAGTCTCTCGCGAGTCTCTCTCTAACAGCTACTGAGTAAGCACACATACATACATATATAGCTTATGCATTCGCAAAGTATCGCGCGGCCTGTTGCATAAATTCGCACAAAGGCATTATACCTCATTTTAAGCATATTCAAATAGGCTTCGGGTATAAAAAGGTGACGTCTGCCGACCATCGCTTAACTCCTCCTGAATGCAGACAATTGTCGCGCAGTGGAGCTAGCCCAAGTCCTCGTCTCTTGGAGCAGCGGAAGTGCCGTGACCTGGCAGAACGGTTGACACCAGATTGCGCCGGTTAAACAAACAGAACAAATTTGCAGTATGCCGAAAAGTTGGGCGTGACCCGCCGCCCCAGTGCGATCAAAATGTGCGAATTAGTTGATCTCTGTTAAAGACCTTAATTATGGATTGAGGTTAGGTAACAATTGAATTGCGTGCGCAAATGCGAGAATGCATATCTGTGCGAATATTAATGTGAAAAATTGTGATATCAAATAATTCAAACAAATTTGCATACAGTTTTTCAATCAAAGGAGCCAGCAGCAGCAGAGGCAGCCGCAGCAGCAGCAGCAGAAAAGCGACGCCCACAAACACACACACACACAGACACACAAAGACGCTGCCGACGCGACGACAGCATCAGAAGCCGCAAAACCAATACAAATGCAAATACCAATACTAAGACAGCGACAACAGACAAACGGCGATGGCGAAGGCGCAGAAGAAGAAGAAGGAGACGGCAGCGACGCCATAACTGTTAATAAGCCGAATGGAGTCCAATTTGCCGTCGCTTTGACGAGCGCGCGCGGCGCACTTGTTGAATTCGGCGGCCCGATATAAAAGCATCGATGCTCAACCTTTCGCCGCACAGTACAACACTAGCCACCAGTCACATCTCGAACCGCACCGAGCGCAGCGAACCAGAATCTAACCAGAAAAAAACTAATAAGAACGGAACATAACTGAAAGAGCGAGCGAGAGTTAGTTAGAACGTGATAAGGATAGCGCGAAAGTGTTTGCGGAAAAGTGAAAAGCGCGCAAAGCAAGTGGAAAATCTTTAAGGAAAATACACGAAAATGCAGGTATGTTCCAATTCGAATCATATTTTCACATTATTCATCTAAAAAGTATGTGACGCATTTTGTTTTTTGTCCGAAAATTCTTTGAAAATTTGATTTTTTTTTTATCAGTTCAAACGTATTTTTATTGAGTCACGGCGACACCTGACACCTGTCACCTGTGATTATCTAAGCGCGTGTAACGGTGCCTATTTCACTTAAATAACAATTGGCATACCCTGTTAGCAGGGCGTTAAAGGGTATATGGGGTTTGTGTCTAGAGAGGAATGAATTTCATTTAGGAATAGGAATTTCATATAGGAATCATATAGGAATAGATGAACTAAACACAGTTTGAAAAGGCGTTGACAGTTTCAGAGTCACAAGGCCAATATATTTTTCTAGTTTTTCTATCTTGCTGCCAGAATCGAAGTTCCTAGTTGGATATTTGTAATATTTTTCCAATACTTTATCTTATATAAGTACCAAATCTCCAATTCACAGTTTGAAAAGGCGTTTACAGTTTCAGAGTCACAAAGCCAATCTTTTTTTCTAGTTTTTCTATCTTGCGTGCCAGAATATACGTTTTCTAATTGGACATATATACTATTTTCCAATACATTATCTTATATAAGTACCCAATCTCCAATTGGTTGGGGCTAGTCACAGTTTGAAAAGGCGTTTACAGTTTCAGAGTCACAAAGCCAATCTTTTTTCTTAGTTTTTCCAATTTGCTGCCAGAATATAAGTTTTCCAATTGGATATTTGTAATATATTTCTAATTGTTTGGGTCGCTTTTCGAGGTCTTCGGGGGGAGCATCATGAATAGATTAAGCTGAGCTTGATTGCACCGTTATTACATAGAATTATGCAAGTCGGGGCGTACGGAAATTGCGACGCACAGATCTAATCGCCGGGTTAGCAACAGTGTGACCCGTCGTGTAAAACAGGTAGAGATTGCGAATGCCGGACAATGGGTTCAAAGCTAATTAGAAATTCTAATCAAACAATTTCAACCAATTTTGTGTGCCTATAAATAATTGTCTAAAGTCGAAAGGTGTTTTTTTTTTGTTTCTTGATTCTTATGCACATCCGCAAGGATTGACGCCGTCAAGTCTGCTCAGATTTGTGTTTATCTTGCGTTTATTTTGTTTTCTTCCTCTTCTTCTGCTTTTGGAATACGCAAAATTGTGAATTTGTGAGTTTTCCGTTCTCAAGTGTGTTTAGCTCTTCTCACAGGCGATTCGGTTAAACAGAAATATGCTTTTATGTACCGAAGCATAAACAATAACAAGCCGCTCCTTAAGTAAATAACAGTCCAAGGATGGGATAAGCGCTGATTGGGAATGACAAAAAAAAAAAAATGGAAAAATAAACTTTTAGCTGGGAATCTGCTTCAGTTTTTTGCAAATCAGAAATTTGAACTGCACTTGTATCGAAAATCTGATGCTCTGACATTTAAAACCGATTTAAAATCGCGACTTTTAAATTGCTGCTGATGACTCAGTCTGATTGGAAACATCTCCAATTGGGACTGGGCTACGTGCGTCTCGAGTCATTCACGCACAGTATTGGCCACACTGCGCGCGTTGCGCTGGTCACGCAGTCGCCGTCGCCGTCGCCGTCGGCGTCAGCGTCGCAGCTGCCGTTGCAACTTTGCCGTTGCCCGCCTCCAAAAGA